GCGGACTCGTGTCACATCCCGCCTTGTGGCTGGGGGTGTCCTGGGGACGGGGCCGACGCGTCCCGCGTTGGTGGCGCCGGGTGGGCGCCCCGGGGCAGCGGGTCGGACCGGGGAACGGAGCCGTTTGTCAGGATAGACCCCTGGGGGAGATATTTCTTCAGCTAAATTGTTGCTTCACGCTCCGAAACGTAGCAGTTTATATCGCTCATAAACTCCTGCTCTACCCGCCATGGCCATGGATGGTCACATCCCTGTAAATGTCCTTCTCATCTCTTAGGCTAAATGACAGCAGGTAGCGGTGAGTTCCCCAAGTTAATAACACTTATTTTTATTTAAGTGACACTTTTTTTGGGGGAAAAAAGGTCCTTGTGTTTGTCCTTTGCACACATAGGAGCAAAGAGCCTCCTGGCTGGCACCTCTCGGCCTCCCTTGGGCCATTCCCCCCTCATCATTCCCAGCCTTCGGAGCGGCTGCGCTTTTCCCAACGCCTCCGTCTGCGCCCACAGGGCTGGGACTGGACCTGGCAGCTCCAACCCGGTGCCCCTGCGGCTCTTGGGGGCTGCGAACCCCCAGTTTGGAGCAATTCCCGACACCTTGGCAAGCAGCAGGGAGAGGGGCCGGGGCGCTCCCATTCGGAGCCACGGGAAAGGCCGGGGAAGCAGCCCCGGGGGCGGCAGCGCTTCCCGCTCCGCACGCTCCTGCCGGGGATATTTTTTTTTCCCCCTTTTCTCTCCCTGCCCCCATCTCTTCCTTGCAGCTGAAGGACATTAAACACATGAAATGCATTAGCTAGGATTTTTCCTACCCCCCTTGCTAAGCTCGGGACCTCCAGGAGGAAGAGGCCTGTGAATTGACCCTGCCCAGCGCTTTAACTGACAGGTCATTAAAGATGAATGTGTGGCTGGAGAAAAATACTCGGCTTGCAGGCGAGTTGTTGTCCGGGTGGGATTTTAATGATTTATGCTTCTTTCTCCTCCCGTCCTTCCCACCCCCCCGACTCCAAACAATCCAGGCACCATGGGAGGTCTCTTTTTGGACGGCGAGGAGAGCCCCGCGCTGGAAGACATCAGCAAATGGACGGTGGAGGATGTGTGCAGCTTCGTGGCCAACCTGGCAGGCTGCACCGAGTCCGCTGCAGGAGCTGGGTACGGAGCCGGGAACGGCCCGGGGCTGCCGGAGCCGCCTCCGGCCTCGCTGCTCCGTTCGACGGGAGCCGGGGCCGGTGGAAGGTCTCTGCTCTCCAGGGAACACAAAATACCCTTTTCCTGCCACTTTGGGCCCCGGGCGGGCTGGTAGCAATGAGGGGAGCGCTGGGAGGGCAAGACCGAAGCTGCTGGTGACTTTGAGGCTCTTTGGAGCAGAGTGAAGCTCCGTGGGTCAGGAAGGTGCTCAGGGCCATGTGCAGCCCCACGGTGGTGGCACCAGCACAACCGCCCCGGCGAGGGGCAGTGCAGGAGCAGGAGGAGGCCAAAGCAGCAGGGATGGAAGAGGGGCAGCCCCCGGGCCTGGCCCTGGTTTGGTTCTGGGTTCGGGTTGGTTTAACTGGTGCAAAGCATCAGGCCAGTGGCCTCTGCCAGCATCGGTGCCCCCGGGACGCTTTGAGGAGGGTAAGCTCGGCATCCCGGCTGCTCCCGGACCGGCTGTTGGGAAGAGCTCGGAGCAGGGTGGCCGGGAGGGGCAGGTGTGTGGAAAAAGGGCTGGTTTCTGCTCGTGGAGGCGGGAATTGGTGAGGAAAAGACGGGATGAGCTGGGTGGGCGTTTGCAGGAGGGAGCAGAAGGGCTCGGAGCTGCCCTTGGCCAGGCCGGGAGGGAAGGGCTCAGCGGGGGCTGCGGTTTGGGCGCACGGGTGTTTTTTGGGCAGGAATTGGCAGAGCTCAAGCCAAAGGCTCTAAACCCACCTCTGTGCTGCCGCCTCCCCCACCGCAGCCCCAGCTGGGGGAATGGAGTTCAGGAAACAGCTCCTGGCACCGCAGGAATGTTGGGACCGGGGGAAAGGTGCCCGAAAGCCGACGGCTCCTCCCTTTGCACCTTCCATGGCAGCCCCTGATGTACTGGGGTGGGCGAAGAAATTAAGTTTGCTGCCACCAAGACTCAGCAACAAAAGGTTTTTAGGATAATGGGAGCTGCTGCCAACAGCCTCCTGCTGTGGCCTGGCATTGGCCAGGGGGTGCCCAGCCTAAGGGATGCTGCATTTTTATGCCCCCAGTTCTACGCTTAGCAGTTGGAGTTTTTTTTTTTTTTTTTAATTATTTCCCTTTTTTTTCTCTGTGACATGGGGATATGTGAGGGAGCCGCAGCGCGGGCTGCGCTCGCCGGCCAAACCGCGGCTGCCGGGGAGGCCGGGCAGCGGCGCCGGAGCCTCCCGCCTGGAAAACCCAGCAGGAGCTGGAGCCGGGGCTGTGCGCTCAGAAACACGTTCCAGCCAAACGCAGGGGAAAAAAAAAAAAAAAAAAAAAAAACCCCATCTTTAATGAAAACAAAGTTGCCTGTTCCCGCGTTCAGGCCCGGACAATATCCGACTTTGTCCCTGCAGTGGATCAAGCCCTGTGGGGCACCCAGGGGGGCTGCTTTGGCTCCCGGGGGTTTTTGGGGAGGGTTTTGGTGTGGAGCATTTGGCTCCCTGCCCTGTTGGCTTCGTGGGAAGGAAAAGGGGGAGCTGAAGCGTCGCTCGGTCAAAGCAGGAGCGCAGGGAGCGGCGGTGCCGGCGATGGAACCGGTTTGGAGGAGCTCAGCTGCCTTCGTGCCGAGAGCCAGCGCCTCTCCAAAGGGACGGAGCTGCCCTCCCTCGGGAATTCCCATAGGAATGTGTTTAAACTAGTTCAGTTTTGCACGGTGGGGTGGATTAGGCTACGTGGTCATGCACAAGGGCCTCTTTGTGGCCTGCACCAGCCCTGTTGCCACAAGCCAGCTCCTAACCGTGGCCTCTGCTGCATGACCAGAATTTGGCCTCCAGCACCAAAACGCTGGGGGCAACGGGGCCCGTTCCCTTTCCTAACGCAGGTTTTTCCCTGGATTTCCTTTCTTGCAGGTATTCCGGGAGCAGGCGATCGACGGCGAGACGCTGCCCCTGCTGACAGAGGAGCATTTACTGAACAACATGGGGCTCAAGCTGGGGCCGGCCCTGAAGATCAGGTCACAGGTAGGACCCTGCTCTGCTTTCCGCTGTCCCTAGAGGGAATAGTGCTGGCAAATTGGTTTATTGACTATAATTAATTCCCCCGAGGAATCACTGTTTTTAATATAGATGTATTTTTAATTCTGGGCTCAAGAACGCTTGGTTGTATTTCTGCCCTCCAAAATGTGCCACGGCCTCAGCTGATGGCAGTCACATAACTCAGAGGGGAGAACAAGGGCCCTGAGAGCGGCTAGTGAGGGCAGGGGATGAGAAAAATAGGAGATGGAGCAGGAAACTCCGAAAATGGACCAGCTCCTGCCGGAATTGACCCTTTGGGGTCCATTAATACAGGTGAAGAAAGAAGGACCAGGAAGGCCCTAAACTCCCTTGGTTTGTCTCCTACCTGGTCAGTGTGACTTGTACGTCCTCATAGTTGGCCTCAAAGCCAGGAAAAGCCTCTCCATGAGCTGCTTTTCCCCCTCCACCGTCATTTACTGAATCAGAAAACAGCGTGTGACACCCGTCAAGCCCAGCCCGTTCCGTTGTATCCCCCGTTGTGCACGGAATTCCGGCAGCACCGGGTGTGCACGGACACGCGTGGCCCCTCCAGCTGCTCTTCTGGCCGAGTTCCCCGCAACCTGTGCATTTGTTAGATTATGTTAAAACAATCAGAGCAACTTTATTTACTTTTCCTACAGCCCTCACTGTTTATGAGGGGGCTAATAAAAAGGTTCTGCGGGCAATTGCTCCCTGTGGGGTAATTCAGTAAGAAATAAAGCTCTTGGGTTTCTTAAAAATAGAGAGCTCCAAATAGCTCACAGAGAGGCTAAGAGGAGATTTGGTGGGGGGAAACGTGAGATACGGGCTGAAACAAGGGAAAAACCTGCTTGGATTTAATCAATGGTGTTAAAAGTTCTCTAATAAGGGGAGTTTTGGGGCCGGGGGCGGTGCCCCGATGCTGCTCCCGAATAATGCGGCGCTTGTCTGGCCCCGGCAGCGGCCTCTGGGTTTGGTTACGCTGGAATGGGAAGCAGCTGGGAGGCGGGAGCAGCTGCAGGAGGGTTTTCCATGGAGAAGGGAGAGGCTGGGAGCTTCCCGGGGACGTAACAGCAGCGGTTTCCTTCAGGGGCAGCTCCCGCCCTTCTCCATCCCATTCCCTTAGCCTGGAATGCCGCAGCTGGATGGAGGCTCCCCCAGGCACTTTGTGTCCCGTTTCCATCCCATTTTTTTGGCCTTACTCTGTCTCTCTCTCTCCCTTGCGCAGGTGGCCAAGCGGGTGGGCAGAGTCCTCTACATGGCCGGCTTCCCCATGGCCTTCCCGCAGCAGCAGCCCGGCCTG